ATCAATAGTGAGATCTGGTGCCCTCTTCTGGCCTACAGGTGTACACGCAGGCAGAACATTGTATACATAATAAATAAATTAAAAAAAAAAAAGTCTTCCCATTACTTCCATTTTGCTCACACCAATGGAGCCTTACTGGTCACTCAATCTGCCATCAGCACGACTCCCTTAGTGTTTCCTATAGTATGTACTACCTTCCAGCATAGCAGTGAGTTGACTCTGCCCACTGTTTGTTACTGAAACAGAAACCTTTCAGGGTGAGGGTCACAGGGCACGGTGCTTCTTCACACCTGTAACAGCAACACTTTTTTTTTAAAGGCCAAACCAGGATTGTTGGGAGTTCAAGGTGTAGGCTAGAGGCAGTGTCTCAAAAGTAAAAATTCAAGATGTCACACCACATGCATGTGGTCTATCTTTAAAATGAAATACAACTCATGCTAAGCCTTAAGTCCATCCAAACTGAACCCCACAAGTCTTTTTCTAAGCAACATTGTGAGGCATTTACCTACCAGCATCCCAATGTCTGCAAGAGTAATTAAAAGATTGAAGAACCAATACCAAGGACTGGTAAACCGCCCAGAGGGTAAGGGGCTATACCTCCCTGTACCACTCCTATCACATGCACACCAAGACAAAAATTTCCTTAAAAATTTATCTCAGCACCCTGGAGACTATGGCAGGAAGATGTCATGAGATCAGCCTGTGCTACCCTCAAAACAAAAACAAAAAAAAAGCTAAAAGTTGTTATACCATGAAAATGTCAGGTAATCGTATTCAGTGTCTAAAACAAATTGCCTCATCCGTGTTCTCATTTCCTAATTTTCTGAAAGAAAAAAAAAACCCAAAATTCTTACTTTCTAACTTATAAGGCAATTTTCAAGATAACGCTTCCCAGGCTTTTTGCACTATTAGCTGGTGAACTAGTGCCCTCTAGTGACCACTTAGCATTGCACAGCTGAACGCCTCAAGTATTATAGGGCTGAGGTTCCAGTTTCACCTTACAGCTGCCTAGTTTAAAGCCCAGGCTTGCTCCCCAGTACCACCACGCCCCTCCACCACACACACACAGAACATTCTGAGGAGCAAGCAGTGCACACAACCCCTTTCCGTATGCTAGGCATGGGACTAAGGCCTTGTAAATGCTCAGCAAGGACTAGGGAGTGAACATCTCTAGCCAAGCAATTCCCCGCCCCCAGGTACTAGCCAGACCTTTAATCACCCTCTAGTCCTCATTGTGACACTCCTACCCCCAAACTTCTGCACATGGCCTTTTGTCTTCTCTCCTTCCAGGGAATGGGGCGTGCGCGCGCACGTGTGACGTATGCTAGTGCATTTAGGCCAGAAGAGGCCATTCGATAACAGAAAACTAACTCCACCCACACTGAAGGCGCTGCCTTCCCCCAATCCTGTAACCTGTTCTCCAAAGTAGTTTAAATCCCACCTGAGGTTTGAGCAAGCTCCTTCCTAGTCTTATTTCCCATCAGAGCCAGGCATGGTGGTACATCCCTTCAATTCCAGGACTCCTGGAGGCAGGCAGACCCGTGTGTTGACCAATCTAGTCTACACAGTGAAAGGCCAGTCAGGCCCATAACAATGGAAACTTAACCAATGTCTTCCCATAATGCTGGAAGCACCAAATGCTAAGTCCAAAATCACACCCGACCAAGGCACAGTCATCTAGTAAGACAGGTTCAAAGCAAGACAGCCAGATCAACATCAGGCTGAAGATGGAATAGTGAAAGGACTTTATTTTCCTTCTTGTTTTCTCTGGATACGACCAGACCCCAGAAGTCACAGACACTGGCTTTCTAGTTGACTTTGAAGCTGAGGTGGGGCCCTGACTTTAGTATTTATGTGTATCTAGGAACCTGTTACCCAAGCAAGACTGGGGCCTTTGGAATCACTAAGTAAACATTTTTAAACCTGGGTGCTGGAGAGACGGCTCAGCAGTTGAGAGCACTGACTGCTCTTCCAGAGGTCCTAAGTTCAATTCCCAGCAGCCATATGGTGGCTCACAACCACCTATGAGATCTGGTGCCCTCTTCTGGTGTGCAGGCATACATGTAGACAGAACACTTTATACATCAAGTTTTAAAAGCTTAAAAAAAAAAATTTAAAACCACATTAAGTTCTAGGATTAGCTTCCAAAGTATGCTCACAAAGTAAAACTATCAATTTTAAGTTTTCTTGTGTTGAGAACTTGTCGAATTCTACAGTTACATTGCATCCGGTTATAGATGTATTTTATTAATTCTCATATCTTTCTTTTTTTTTTTTTTTTTTTTTTTTTTGTTTTTCGAGACAGGGTTTCTCTGTGTAGCTTTGCGCCTCTCCTAGAACTCACTTGGTAGCCCAGGCTGGCCTCGAACTCACAGAGATCCGCCTGGCTCTGCCTCCCAAGTGCTGGGATTAAAGGCGTGCGCCACCACCGCCCGGCTCTTTTTTTTTTTTTTTTTTTACTCATATCTTTCTTAATGGCAAATAGGACTTGCCAATACCTGGGTTCCTCTTATACCTGGCCATAAGCTCTACGGTACAGATCATTCAGGACTACATGGTTTTAATACACAATTACACCTTCTCGTTTTCATTCATATCACAAAACAGCAACTAACCTTCTAGATGGCTCAAATACTACTTATTAAGGGGGAATCAGCAGTTTGTACTTATGTATTATTCTGTATCTTTCACTTTAAAAATCCTTAACTCAACCAAGAAAAAGGTTACCTCCCATTTGGGCTGCTTTTCTGTTTTGTTGTCAAGATTTATTTTTATTTTATGCTTATGAGGGATCGTCTGTAACAGCTGGTTCCTGAATCTCCCTTGAACAGGAGTTATATAAGACATTGTGTAGGAAGTGAACTCAGGTCCTCTGCAATACACCCCCATCACCTTTAAGAAATGAGACCTATAATGAGCCTAGAAAAACTTTTCAAGCCTTATTCAATTACATACAAATCCAAAAACGTATAGGTACTACAAATCAAGCCTGCGAAACATAATTACCAAAATGAATTGAAATTGCATTTTAAGATTTTTTTTAACTTTAAAAGAATACTTTCATACTGGGAAAATACAGCAGTAACAGCACGTTTCACTTTCCATCCGGTAATCAGGAAAGACTGTATGTAAATGAAGACAAAATGTCAGCAAAATGCCAAAGGAATCTATTGTTATTAACTGAAATCTCGAGCCTCCTTTGACTAGATCTCATGTGTAGCACAGGCTCACCGGTGATCCCTGGGACTGTCTGGAGTAGCTGTACCCACGCTGGTACCTCACCTGGCTCGGCTCTTCTCTGCTGTACCCTAACTCTAACCTTTGACCTCTCCAGTTGCCTAGGACCATCCCTAGCCTCTATCACTTGTCAGTTTGGTTCTTCTGGGCAAATGGAATAGATTTCCTGCTCATCTTCAAACTCCCAGCCCCAAGTTTGTATCCTGGCAGAAACGTCATTGAATGTTGCGTTTGTCCCTTGCATTAGCCGTTCCCAATTCCTGTTCAGTTAAAAATGTAGTTTGGAAGCACGGCCTCTATTTTAAGCAGCCTAACCATGAGCTTCATGTGAAACTGAAAGTCTATTAATGATTCACTTCCTTTCAAAACTGCTGTGCCCAATTTCTCTTTTGATATCAAAGAATCTGTCAACAGCTTACTTTAAAGCTGAAACCCCTGAAACTATGGATGTCAATATGCAACAGGATGTGAAAATCAGGAGGGAAACGGATGCCAGCATCTTTAAATGAAAGTAATTCCCACACCCGTTTCCATTACTATAAAACGTATAATAAGCCTTATTTCGTCCAAGAACTTTTGTTTCTAAACCAGGTTAGTTTAATGTCTGGATTTGTAAACTAGTACACATAAGACATCTGTTAATAACAGAATTACTCTGCTACTGCCAGATATATTTACTTCTAGAAACTTGGTGGTTAAAGTGCCCAGTTACCAAACACTTTTAAAACAAAACTGAGTTTATAATTACCAAGTATATATACAATACAGACTTTTAAATACTGGATAGCACATGTTTTCCAAAGTCCCTATAAATTATGCTTCTTCTGGATTATATGTTCTGTAAATCTAAAAATAACATTTGGTTTTAATTTAAAGTCAAAATTAAAGGCTAAGTCTTATTAAACTAACCATTAAAAATGAACTATGAATCTTACATGAAGCCCTAAAATCGCAGCACTCAAATATTTTAGATTTTCTATTTCTGCACAGCAAAATACGGTTTTCAGTTGTAATTTTTAATGTGAATAGCCTATAACTCAAATAAACCCACAAATTCAGACTGCCTTACAAACAGTAATATAAAAGCTTTGAATTCAGTTACCTCAAGGCTTATCACATACCACCCACCGTACCTCAACTTAAGCACACACACAAAAAATAAAGATCTGTCAATGCCAATGTCTTCTTAACGTGAATGTGTAAATGAGCTAATAAGAGGTAGAACCCCATTTTTCTGTTGCCAACTCACCATCGCCAACAAAAGACGTCTACCTTCCCATACAGAAGCGTGACAATTAGTATTGCTTCGAATCTGAGCGAACTGCAGGGTACCTCTCAGACATTCCGAGTAAGCTACCCAGTTGTGAGACTACTCTGTCCACCTAGCAGATTTGAAAGATCAGTCTTCCAGATTCCTTTCTCAAGAGTTTGTGTTTATAAAGAACTAACTGTACAGGGCTTCCATCATGTTTTGGATGGAAAACAAGCAAACTTCTTAACACCCCATGAATAGGATAGTTTAAGCATTGTGAATGTAAAATCAGAATTGTCAAAAAAAAAAAAAAATGATCATAGACAATGAAGAATAAACCATGGAATTTCTTTCTGCTCTTCACATCAGAAACTTACATGTATGTCTAAGGAGGTCCTCTTAAAAATGAATTTTATTTGAACAATCAAAGTGGCTTAAGCACAGAATAGCTGCTCTCCAATCTTCAAAGAAATTATGTATAGTTGTAAAAACTTCAAATATCACCAGTATATTTTATAAAATTAGATCCAATTTTATTAAGGATTTCAAATTACACATTTCAGACTTCTAGAATGGAAGAGACCCATCAGGGGACTGACAGTGTGTCGGAATGCACACTGACCCCGTGTCCACACAGCACACTCCCATTCCACAACAGCAGCAGCTACTGTTCCTTTGGCAACAGCTACTTCCTCAGGGAGGGAGGGAAGGAGGGAAGGACTGCACTAGCTCTCCAAATCCACCGAAAATGGGATTCGACCTTTAGATCACAAACTTGAATGTTCAAGAAAATAAGCTGTGTTTAGACGACTATGATTACAGAAAATAGTACAAACCATCTAATAGAAAGCAACCAAAGTATTTTCAAAATAAAGGAAACAATGCAATTGGTTAAGGATTTCCAGTAGTTAAAAATCTCAGGAAGAGGTCAGCTACACATGTGTTCATATCCTAAGACCTCAATACGAAATTTTCACAAGGAGCTATCACCTCTCCAAAGAAAAAAACAACTCGATGTAAATTTTATTAACAGCAGGAATGATAGACTGTCCGAGTACAATCCAATCAATATACCCTGTGAAGAAAAGTTCCTTCCCCCCAATGAACAGTAATTAGCCTGAGGTATTTTTAATGTAGCTCTCGGTATCTAAAACTTAATGTTACCCTCCCCTGCAATGGCCTCATTACCATTTTGGGATTTATTACAATGTGGTCACTTGAAACCCCAAAGTGGGGGGGGGGTGTAAAAATAAAAACAACCCATCGATCTCTTGAAATTGCACACTAATTTCATCCATTCCCACTACAACAGGAGCCACATGCTCAGACCTATAATAGAGGTGTTTAAACTTCATTCTCCAGTTTAATTAGCCAAGCTTAGTGTGACTACAATGTGGTACAGAGGCCCGATTTTATTTTATTTTTTGAGCATTTAGTAAGACTGAGAAAGTTTGTGAGATTTACCCCAGTATGCCTTAACATATCTGTGAGGTAGTTAAATCAACAGGACTACCCATTCGTAACTGTCCACAGCAAAGAGGAGCATGGCTAGAGGACACACGACTCATCCTTGAGCAGAAACACAGAAGCCAAAAAAATAAAAAATAGAGATCACACATCATTCGTCCCCTTTTTAAAAGCACAGAAGTATTACCACCTCCAAGGGTGTTCAATATGGAAAACTAGGCGTCCCTGAACTCCAGCTAACCCTCTGCAATAGCCTCCATCAGTACAAACTGAGACATCATCCTGTGAGAGCTAAGACTGTATAACATTTTTATTTTAGGCTATAAAAACAAAATTAGGCAAACAAACAAACAAGAAAATTCAAAATAGGTTCAAATGATGTAAATCCATCCTTTCCAGGAAAGCAGAAGGGTAGGCCCTACCACAAAGAAAAGATACTTAATTAATGGAGGTTAATTTTCAAAGTACATTTAAATACTATCAGATTAACTTCTGAAAAAAACAAAAAAACCTTGGGTTTGTTCACCTTGCTATAACTAATAACCATGAGTTGACTTCTGTTAGAATTATATCATCTAAAATATAAAACTCCCTTAATAATCTGTTAGTAGGTTTGATCTTAACTGGAAATTCTTAACCACAATTTCCTTTTCTCCAATCTGCATCATCCCCTAACAACGTAACAGAAGGAGGAGCTAATGCAGGTCGACTCCAACCTGTTCTATCAGCTGGAAACAACTTTGGTTCTTTAGGAAACAAACAGCTACACCAAACAATGTGCGCAACAGCTGACTCTCAAAACTGTATCCAATATGGTGAAAATATTCCAGAAGAACCAAGCTGCGGCAATAAACGGACATGCATTAGCAAGGATTTATGCATTCAACATATCTGACAGAACTCTAGTTAGAACAAATTGGTCTTTAAAATATCCATTTCCTTTCCTTTAAAAACTTACTGAGTCTACCAAGAAAGTACAAAACATAAGGCTGTAAGTAAGAGACAGTCGGGTTTAGGCTATTACAGGGTAGGCCGTCCTCGGGGCCAGACTTCCTGCTTCACTGCTGCTTGCACTCTGCTGGGTTCTGATCCTTCTGTCAAAGGAAAACAATACGTCAATCTACCTTCCACCTGCTTGGTAGTCGTCACACAACAATTCTGTATTACCACACTACCTCCAGGCTGGTGAAAACACATGACGTGGGATAGTGACACGTGACTTAAATTAGCACGTCAATGAAGTATGCAATCAAGACCACCATGTTGGACTTGTCAATTATCATCCGGCCTTTTATTTTCAAAGATATTTATATTTACACTAATTCATACCTATCAAAATACTTATATTTCCCTTATATTTGCTTAATTAAATACCTTCCTTATATTCCACAGCATATGGTCAATGAATGGAATGAAGGAAATGCTAGGTTTTAAATGAATCCTGCGAATTACACGCTCTGAGGGAGAAGCAGCTTCCACTAATCCTAAAATTCCTAAGAACTGTAGACTGGGACTTTTAGGGACTAAATACTAACAGTAATGGTGGTGGGGAGAATCAACACCCTGCACTGCCCTCAAGTTCAAGGCAGTCCTGCAGCCAGAGCCCCTTTAGCTGACTAATTCTAACTTCCCTCGGGTGGAAAACAACCGAGCAATACATGTGGAGTCCTCAGAAAGAGCCAAGGCCATCCACTCTCCCTTCAGCTCACCTTTGGGTCATAGTCCGGGTCGTTTTCCTCATCTCCTTCTTCTTCCCCTTCCTATATTAAAGTTCAAAATGCATCCATGAAGTAGGTACAGATTAGGAAAACTCGGCTCACAATGTATGGAAATTTTAGTACAAGTTACTCTATGGGTCAACAGATTTTCATGATTACAGAGTTTGTGGATAATACAATTTAATTTGAAAGCTTCTAACATGAAAAATTCCCCAACACAACTTGAGACATCCAGACAGCTTTTATTGACAAGATTTACTGCAGCCAACGCTGGAAAAGTTGACTGCAGCTTTTGACTTCTTCAAAGAGCTGATATCCCTGCAGCAGAACAAAATTATTTGAAATAAAAAAAAAAAATGTTGCTGAGTTTTGCAATTTATTTATTGAAACCTTATACATACATTGTTTGGCTGTAGAATTCTAAAATCATATTTTCCAAACAAAATTTATCCCAAATCACAGAATGATTATAGCAACGGAATACATTAATCACTCAATTTGCTCCTCAATGTGTTATACAGTGAATTATTTGCTCATTTGGTAAACATTACCTCATCAGCTTCTTCACCTTCTTCATCATACTGAAAAGAAGACAGGCAAAAGTGTGAATGAGTAAGAGTAAGGAGGAAACACTTAGTACTTACATTAGTAAACACCCATCGTTTGGAACACCAAATGTAAAAAAGAAACAACCACCATAAATGCCATTAAGTGGCGAAAACTTCCCCAGTTCTATGGTAGCTACAGGCTGAAGCAGCTCCCTAAGATCTCTTTAGAGTCTAGACTACCCATATAAACACTCAGGAGGTCTGGTTGTTTCAGGACACCAAAGTAAGAGTAAAACAGGGGGCTGGAGAGACAGCTCAGCAGTTAAGAGCACTGGCTGCTATTCCAGAAGTCCTGAGTTCAATTCCCAACAACCACATGATGGCTCATGACCATCTGTAATGACATCTGGCACCCTATTCTGGCCTGCAGGCACACACAAAACACTATATATATAATAAATCTTTAAAAACTAAAAGTGAAAGTAAAAGAATCCAAATATCCTAAAGAGACTTCTAAATTGAGAAAAGTTATCCAAAGGATTAGGTGAATTATGAATTCTTCTCTGTCCTACTTTTACAGAACAGTAAATCTCGGGAACCCTCCCCCAATGGTCCCAGGGCAGGATTCCAGGGCACTCACATCATCATCATCATCCTCAATAGCCTCGCCAGTAAAGTATAACACTGATCTTGGGATTATCCGCTCCCGTAAAAAGTGACCAATTTCAAAGTCTGCAGCCAGGATAGCTTCGGCATCGTCATCCTGTAAGAAGAATTGTCATGAGTTAACCCTGTTCTCCTGTGACTTCAAACTTGACACATGGAGATAAGTGGTCATCTCCATGTGCTAGCTTTGCAAGTTATTAATACCTAAAACTAAGTTAGCAGGCCAGCATATACACAAACAAAAATTATACTAAATAAATAGGACTATTTATATATGATATAGGGCTTTTTGCTTAAAGAGCAAAAGGCAAAAGCAACTTTGCTACATGAAGGCAATTTTCCTTTGAAAATACTGAGGCCGGGCGGTGGTGGCACACTCCTTTAAGCCAGCACTGAGGAGGCAAAACCAGGTGGATCTCTGGGAGTTTGAGGCAAGCCTGGGCTACAGAGCGAGATCCAGGACAGGCACCAAAGCTACACGGAGAAATCCTGTTTGGAGGGGGAGGGATGAAAATAAGGCTGGCATGATGGCTGAGCAGGTAAGGCCCAGTGGTTAGGAGCACTGGCCGCTCTTGTGGAAGACCCGGGACTCAGTTCTCAACACTCACTCCACTGTAAGTGACTCCAGTTCAAGGGGATTCTCTTCTGACTCATGCAGGCGTCAGGCACACAAGTGGAACACGAACACACGAACACACGAACACACACACACACACACACACACACACACACACACACACACACACACACACCCCTAATACACATAAAGCAGCACTAAACCTTCAGCAGGCATGATGGCATGTGCCTTTTATCCCAGCACCTGGGCAGCAGAGGCAGGTGGATCTCTGTGAGTTCAAGGCCTGTCAGTGCCACAAGGAGCCTGCCTTCTAAGGAGGGGGAAAAAATGCTAGCTGCAACCAGCCCATACTATAATTTAATATCTAGTTCTTTCATTTCACGAATACTAAATTGAAAAAAATAAACTCAACTTACCAGATCTCCATTCTCAGGGACTGCAAAATTAAGAAAAGAAATCCAAATGTGAAAAAAAAATAAACAATGCTTACAATAAACAACCGTGGATAAGACCAAAACTAAGACACTACTTACCTTCAGGAGGGGTAAAAAAATTAAAGAAAGAGTCATTGGAAACTGTTTTAGTCACAGTTCGGACTGTCCCACGTCCCTTATGTTTCTGCTTCTTTTTAATGGTTTTCAAAGTAACATTCTTTCCTTTTTTCCAATCTATCTGGCACCTTAGGAAACAAAATATTTATATTTTATATTTTAACACACTTGATTGCTCGATTTTTTTAGAAGCGTTCTTGTCAAACTAAAATTTTACAGGATAATTGGCTTAATTAGCAAAAAATTTTCTAACAAAAGTTTAAAATCTGTAGATTTACAATAGCAATAGCACATGATATGAACAAAGTGAATAAACAATGTAGACTCAGAGGAAAATGACAGACGACGATGTCTGTCTAAGAGGACACACAAGGGAATGCAATACTGTAAGCTCTGCCGACAAGGAAAACAGAAAACACAGCAGTACAAGTAACTCACCCTGTACAACCCATAATTTCTGGTCCATCAAAAGAAAAGGGATCAGAATCATCTGGTTCTGACCTCATCCTGTAAGTCTTTGTTAACACTTCATTTGTGAAATATTCATTGGGTTCAAAGTGAAATTCTAAGATAAAACTCTTTAAAAGAAAACAAAAGAGAGTTAAGTTCTCAGCCCATGAATTCCAACGCATCAGTCAACAGCCTGACCTGGGGCTTGATAAGCATGCATCCCAGTCTAATGCTCGCCTCGCGCTGAAACACCATCCTAACAGGAATGTAAGGGACACCCCTAACTCTGTTAAAGGCACAAGATAACCCCTATGTTTCAACTTAAATTATCATCTCGGGCAGGTAAGTCCAAATAAATGACCAAGTGCCCCTTCCTCCATCCCCACAGAGACACTAATTGTTAGATATGAAGCTAGGCCGACTGGACACAGGACAACTCTCCAGCCTTTACTCAGCACTGCCCACAGCTGGCACAGGAGGGATTATCAGCTGATCTCTCTCCTCATGGAGCCCTTTGGCACATCTACCTGAAGTCCTTCCCAGGCACACATCTGAACACATTGCTACCTTGTTCTACTTTATCGAGGATCACTGGCTGGCTGTACAGAACCACAGGCACCAAGAGCAAGCAGACAAGTATCTAACCCCTAACTCCCTCCAGAATATCCTGTTTAAACTCATCGGTAAAAACATTACAAAACTAAGTATTTATTTAAAAGTTCTTTTTCTTTACCATAGGCTGGCCAGCATCTGAGAACTTCACTTTAATATCTTTCAAGTGCTTCAGGATAGGTTCATCATGTTCCTATAAATTAAAATAAAAATGAGTATCTCATTTGGCACCTGAGGGTCAATGTTCTGTTACTATACAAAAACTCCTGACTAAAGAAAGCATCTGTTACAGTGAAGTTCTGTTTAGGAACTACGGACCCTAAAACTTCTCCACCAGATTATTATGGTTTACACTGAAGCTGCCTCATACCGAGGGACCCACCTGAAAAATGCAAAAGTCTAAAAAAGGCCATTTTTAAAACCATGTTTCCTGATTATATGATGTCTTTTCAAACTGTTCCCTCTCTACTTGGGCATCGCAGGAATGCGGTCAGCGCCCGCTGAGATCACCCCTTTGGCCCCCGTTTACTCCAGCAAGCACAAGACAGGATGGTCAGTACAATAGGGCAATCAATGGCTGGAACAGCGAGGCAGCGGCTCCAAAGGAGGTTAACATCTGCTGCTTTCCCAGGGAGTCAAATCGCTTCCTATCTTCAAGGCCAGTTTCCCTGAGTCCCAAGTCTTAGGGCAACACAAATGAGACAGTATTTTCTCAGCAACCCTCCCCCCATACTAAAGTATAGGAAAACAAGGTCTTATGAACTATGAGAAGAACCAACTGCTAATCAATCACAAAGATACTATTTCATTACTAAACTTATAAAATATTTAAATTAATCAAAGCCAAATTTTCTTTCTATATAAAACTATAAATAAGAAGTCAACTGAAGAAATTAGCAACCAAAGATATTTAAATGTCAGGCTTCTTTTAGAAAGCAGGTGGTTTAATGAATTAAATTACCTGAACCATATCACTGAGCAAATCCACATTCTTAAAAACTGTCAACCAAAATTCAGGAATCCCTTTAGGGTCTTCTTTCTCTTCATCCTTTTTCTCATCTTCAATCTTGGCCTTTTCTTTCATTTCCTCCTTGAAAAAGACAGCAAACAACTGAATTATATATTAGGTCTTTGGATAAACTTATGACAGTGGCCTAACTTTGGATCTTCAGTCAACAAAGGTCTAGTTTAACTGTCCAAGTACTGCTGGCCCTCATTCCGACCTTCAATTCCATAGAAACCAAGAGGCACCAGGCAGAGAGATCAAGGGCTGCAGGGACATCGTAGAAAGCAGAACAGAGACAGCAAACAGAGACCTGCCCAAGGTTCAGCCTGACATTCAATCAGAATAACGACTGATTACATCTCTAAAAGCAATGGTCGAGTTACATGGCACTGGACTCGTCACAGCTGTCGTTATTCACTACAGGCAGGTCACTTGACGGTTCAACAGTCACCATAGGGTTCAAAGAAAACAACACAAAAAGCTGGAAATACTGCAATAAGGCTGAAGGAGGGCTCATCTGCATTATTCACATACAAAAAAGGACATTTCCTGGGCGTGAGAACATGGTTGAGAGCCAGACCTTACAAAGCTGTTTACATAATACCACACGCCATCAATCAATGCACTTGTGAGAACTCCTTAGGCTCCTATCACCTGAATGCACAGGACATCACCACTGGTACTCACTGCAACTTCTTCTTCCTCATCTGCTTTCCATTCACACTCTTCTTCTGTAGGTTCATAAATTGCATTAATGATCTCAAATCGCTAAAAGGAAAAAAAAAGCTTGTGTAAAAACATTAGCACACAAGCTTAAAACCATTGGTTTCTGATTAAGGACTCAGATTTAATTACTAAATACCACAACTTTCAATAGTTATTGATGGTTCCACAAACACCTCCAATACCCATTCCATTCAGATATCTCAAGGTCAAATCATTTCCAAGTTTGTTTTCCCGAGGTAGTAGTGTAAACCATTACCTTATCAAATAAAGGCTGATAGAGCACAGCATACTTCCTCTCAAGATCATGAACTTCCTCATAGAATTTGGCTTCTATCTGTGCACATTTCACTTGAAGGTTTTTGAGAGCATTCACTCGTCTTTTGACTACTTTAGGCAAGCTGAAAGTTTAGAAACCATTTACATAAAAATCAGAAAAACACAAGTCACAGTTTTTCACATTAAAATGGAAACATAAAAAGTGGGTATGTTCTAGTTGAAACAAGGAATTTAAAATTCAACAGAAATATAGATCCTTTCATTATAAAAGGGAGTAATCAACAGTAATCAACTCTAATTATTTGTAATGAAGTTCAGTAATCTAGCCTGTAGTAATCCATCCTGACTCAGCCTAACAACAGCCATTTGGTTTGTGTGTAGGCAGCTACCTCGTCTGTATTTTAACCAGGGCTAAGAAGACACACATGGACTTTGGAGAAATGGGTATTTTCCACTTTCTACATTTAAACTAATTTGGAACTTGAAATTACATTAAAAAAATATTATGAAGAATATGCATTTTCATACCTGAGATACAACTGATATCATAATACACAATGTGGTTTATTTGTTGTTTTTTAGATATTGCCCAGGGGTTGCCTCAAGGAGATAGGCAAGGCTGACCCTTACCCCTGATCTTTCCACTTCTACCACACAAGTACTGGGATTACAAGGTGTGTACAACCACACACCTGGTTGATATGTTCTTTTTAAATTACACACAATTAAATTCATAAACCCTTCCTTCTACCTTCCCCTAAAGTTCACACTCAAGCAAGACATATTTAATCTTAGACAATCTTAGCAAGAAATACCCTAAATCCAGGTCAAATTTTCTATTCACATTTTGTAAAATAATCTTCTTACCTAACCATTAAAATAGTTAAAATTAAAGAATTAACACATTCAACTAGATCACTTTTCTCTATTTCTTACAATTAATCTGCACAAGCCTGATGACTGAAGTTGGATTTCCAGAATTTGCAGTGGCAGGTGGAGAACTAACTCCTGCACACTGTGGGTGTGTCAACGTGTGCTCAGAGAGAAAAAATGGAAAAGGTGAACTCACACCCCTGCAGAGTGAGGAAGTAGCGGAGGCTGCTAGCTTTCTTCCTCATTCCAAAATTAGCCCTAGGAATTTTAGAGCGAGCCACAAAACCATCTCAGGAAAGCAGGCACACACACACACACCTCCACAGTCAACTTTAAGCTGTTTGCTGTCTAATTAGTATACACAGAATAAACTGCAGCTTGGGACAAGATGCCTGAAAGCAAGCTGATGACAGGCTAGGGGAAACCATTTTATAAGAAAGAAATCCTTTAAATTCTGTTCTTCCCTTGGACAACTGCCTCTTCCTATTCAATAACATTAAAGACAAAATTCCAAAGGAAACAGTAAGTTATCCATAAAGGCAAAGGAATAAAATTTATACCAGTCTTCAAAGGTAAACACTGTTTCACAAGAGAGAAAAAGACTTGTAGTCTGAAGAACTGACTTCACAATGAATGAATGCTGTGTAAGCTTCTGGTCAAGATAAATATATTGGACACTGCTGTGGAACAATCCTTTTCTACACTATGATTATGTATTACTCCCATTGGTTAAAAAAAGCTGACAGGGGGTAGCTGGGCAGTTAGTTAAGCTGATGATGGGAAGGAGGACGGTGGAGTCAGGAGAGGCTCCAGGCAGCTGCCAAACAAGCCACGAACCACATGGGAAAGCATAAATATAAGTACGGGTTAATTTAAGTGTAAGAGTTAACTAGTAACAAGCCTGAGCTATCGGCCAAGCATTTATATATGATTCATATTCAGCCTCTGAGTCAGTTATTTGGGACCAGGTGGTCGGGAGAGAAACAGCCCTTTACAGGGTGCATTAGGCTTTCCCAAGAGGTAAACCATATTATTTAAAGCAATTTAAGTAAAAAGTACAAGTATTACTATAAGGTATGGTAGTAAATTGAATATTGCCTTGAAGGGGAAAAGAAAGCAGTATTTGTAAGCAATACACATCTTAAAAATATTCAATAAGCTATACACTATCAACACGGCTGTTTATGACCAGGGAAGTAACTACAGAGGATGAACTAGCTATAAACAAAGGAAGTCACAAAGACAGCTCCAGTTAGTCCAAACATAATTTCACTTTCAGGACATATAAAGCTGAGGCTCACAACTGCTTGTAACTCAAGTTCCAGAGGGATTCCACACCTCTGAATCCCATTAAGGCACCTCCACTCAATGTGTACATGTATATTGCACTCAAACTTGCTCACTCTCTCTCCTTCTAAGATCTCAAAGATTAAAAAAAAAAAAAAAAAAAAAATAAGAATCAGAGGCTACAAAGATGACAATGGTTAAGAGCATTTGATTCCAAGCATCCATGTAAGGCAGCTTACAACTTCCAGGAACTCCGGTTCCAGGGGATCTGACACCCTCTCCTGGTTTGCCTTGGAATTGCACACCCACTGTGCATACACTTGCACAGTACACACACATAACAAAACAAAACGCTTAAGTCTTAAAAACAATCTTAACCACACACACATGAATAGAAAAATGCCATCCTTGGTATAGAGTGCTGATGCATGCCTATGATCCCAGACCGAGAGGTAGAGACAGCCGTATCGAGCCTGACGCCAGATTAGTCAAACTGAGTCCATATCTCAAAACAAAAGGCTGAACTTAAGAAAGAAAACTTCAGCTTATAGTACTGGATAGAAGACACACATGATTAAAATAAGAAAGCTAGAGTATGTGTCTTAATGCTAGGGAGGAAGAAGTATGGCCAAAGAAACTACAAAATACAAAGACAAGAAGAGTAGAGACACACAGATTTAAATGTAACCAGTCTACAGTGGGAACTGGAAGCCATGGTTTTTACGTCTTTCCTAGGAACTTTCACAGTGAACACTTAATACACAGAAATAAGGGCAGCTTGCGCAGTACAAACAGAGCTACTATGGTCAGGATGTCTTCTTCCCGACAGTTGGGGAGCCGTGCGTAGGTCAAATGCCAACCCTGGAGATAGTTCTTTCCTCCCACTCCTGTGGGGGGGTTCCAGGGATTCAATTCGGGTGGTCAGGTCTCCATCACTGGAGTACCAAATGCCTTCCCTGCTAAGCTATCTCCCTGGCCCCAGGCAGTGTTTACAGAAGAGTTACAAAAACAAGAGGGGAGGCTGAAGAGAGGGCTCGGTGTGAGGGTTTGCTGCTCTGCAGAGCACCCGAGTTCATTTCCCAGCACCCACGGCGGACTGCTCACAACTCCCAGGAACTCTAGTTGCAGAGGATCTACTGTCCTTGTCTAGCCTCCCTGGGCAACCACAATATGCACATAAATAAAAAAATTAATCATAAGAAGAGAGAATGCTGAAGCCATGCTGGACAAACTAAGTAAGTACACAACGTGGCTAAAGACAAGGGAGAGAACAGCCACGGAAATACACAAAAGAAACCAACCCAAAGGGAAATTAAGAGCCAGGCACTTAGGAGGCAGAGGAGGGTAAATCTGAGTTCGAGGCCAGCCTGGTCTGAAGAGCAAGTTCCAGGACAGTCAGGGCTACACAGAGAAACCCTGTCTCAAAAAACTAAACAAAAACAAAAATTACAGTTCTAAGAAACATTAGCGAGACCAAGACAACTGGGCATTTTAAACCTAAACTACAGCATAGTACATACATGTTTAGAAAACAGCAAACTAAAACTGACACTAAAGAAAACTTGGACAAAGCAAATTAGATTTTAAAATAAAAACGGTAGGTAGCTGGGGGCAATAGCACCCTTCTTTATTACCAGTAGCTGGGAGGCAAAGGCAGGCAAGATCTGTGGATTCTAGGTCAGCCTGGTCTACAGACTGAACGAACTCCAGGAAAACCAGGGCTACTCTTTTGTTCCCCCAGAAGGAGCGGGGGGGGGGGGGGGGCGCACAAGGCTAGAAACGGCTCAGCTGTTGGGAGCACTTGCTGATCTTGGAGGACCGGGGTTAGCCAGGTTCCCAGCATTCTCATGGTGGTTCATAGCTGTTAACAACCCATGAAAGTTTGTATACATAAATACACACATGCAAACATAAGCTTATCTCACAAATAAATGATGTAACATACTAACAATTATGTCTATTCCTAGGGGATCAGGCTAATTTGACTTCAAATACACTCTTGGAGGGGGTGTGCTATAAATTACTTCAATGATTTTAGCAATATTACTAGATACACTATCAATTTTTAAAAAACACAGCATTTCTCCATATAAGCAGGAATACAATATAAAAGAATACTTTATTAACAGGAATAACATATGCAAAATATACAGAAATTAATATAATCAATATTCTAAGAAGAAAACTACAAAACTGAAAGCTAGCATGTATTTATGAACAACACAAGGATATGGATGAGATGATACTAAAGATCCACACTACCTGTCAATTTATGAACTGTAACTGATAGCAAACTTGCCAGGTGAAAACTGAGAACCCTGTCAAACCTGTGGAATAGGTGTAGGCAGCTTGGCTTCTTGATTGTATTTACGCATAGGACAGCACGGAAGGAAGCATCTTGTCTGTCAGACAAGGACAAAGGAATCATGTCTTGACCAACATGAAGACTGTACTTAAGAGCCAGGATTATGGAAGCAACTCACTGTCTCCCATGTTAACACACACTCTGAAGCTACAGCCAGCGGATGTGTCAAAGACAAGAACAGACAGAAAGACCAGTGAAATCAGTGTGCTACTTCAGACAAAGTCAACGATGCAAAAGAACCTCCTATGTTAACAGGTGGACATGTATAAATGGAGAAACAATGGCTCACAGTGAACAGTTTAATAAGAACTTACCAAAACAGGAGGAAGGGATGGATGTTTATCTGTACCAAGCACAAAGCTAGACTTTGAAGAAATGTAGGCACTAAGAAAGACTTCTAAACAATTTGAATCCACAAGTCATCGGCACAAGATGAAAAACAAAACACCCATCTTGCTAATATAAAAATTAAGGATTTCTGTTTACTGAAGGACTCCATAGAATATTTTTTGCAATAATAAGGGGGAAAATATAAATAGATAAGAATTTCTACAAAAACGACAGTAACCTCAGTTAAGAAATGGACAGAGGGTGCAAATGGGCTAACAAGGCTCACTCGTTTTCTGAAAAGCCACTCCAAGTTTACTAGAAAGCAGAAAATACAAATAAAACAAGATCATACCTTCTATGGTGGAAAAGAAAATGATCTACAAAAAGCTGGGTGCCAACTTTTGGCAGAGACATGGAAGATAGAGCCACCTTCAGCTGGAAAGAAACATCTCTAGAAAGAAACCCCAGCATTTCCAGAAATCTTGCTATAAGCCCTGAAGATTGTCTGCTCTCTAAGCAGGAATTCTACCAAAGTAACAGCCCAAAGAACTTCTTCCAGTCCCTTAAGAGGAGAAACAGAATGACGGGCACCCATCCCAGGACAATCTGGCACACACAACAGTAGACACACCGAGTCAGGAAGTGTGTCCAGTAAACAGAGGGCAGTAGACATGGACCTTAAAATCAGAAAACTGAGTTAGGCAGCACATGAAGTAACCCATATTTTAAAAAAAGGAACCTATATTTCTAATTCTGTACATTCCTAACAAACTTCTAAACAAATCATAGAAATGGCTAAAAACAGTGCATTTCCTGCAGACCTGAACCAAGTCAAAAGGCCTAATCTATTCAGAGCTCTACATTCTTAACTCCCCAAAATCTTATACTAGCTATTAACAGACATTAGCGTTCCATGATCACACAGGTAAACGTCAGCTGTTTTTTTATAGAAAGATAAATGAGGGTAGAAAAAAAAGAAACTTGTACCTTTCAATGTATCCTGTTGGTGTGTCTACCAGACCATCCAGTCTTTCCTGAAGGGCTGCAAGAATCTGAGGATTTTGCATCATCTGAACAGTCAGCTGACGCGCTTTTAAAAAGAAAGGGGGCATTGAAAGAGGGATTTGTGAAACCGTTTCTGCTGTTTCCACTGGACACCAATCATGAAGTCTTGCTAACAGGCACATAAAATGCTGGTATGAGAAGTAGAAATGTGTGGAATAAGCTAAGGAAAACCCAGCACGTCGGGTTTCTAATAATATTTAAAGCACAGGATTTCTCTAGGCCCTTATCACAAGCACAATGGACAAAAATCTTTCTAGTCCTGTTCGTTATCTTGCGTTTCACCACCGTTCTAAAGCTTTGGGAAGTTCAAAGCTCTGTCACAATGCTGCCTACTACCCAAGACTCAACAAGTCACCTGAAGGCAGACAACTTACCAGAAAACCCCAAGTTTACTGCATGTACATTTCACTTGAGAGTGTAACAAAATCATTTTCAGTTATATTCTTGGAGACTTAATTTGCTTTTAATAATAATTTAGTAGCTAGATGATACACAGCTGTAATAATAGGCACTTAGGAACATCAATTATAGCAACTGAAAAAATTCTGAAAGAAGGCAGGAACTCCGGATTTTCATAATTAAAATACATCTGGCTAAAACCGAAAGTGAGTCACCTGGTTACCTCAGTGCTCCTGGACCATCTACCCACCAGTACTACTCCTCATGGACATTATCTGCTAGGCAAACGTTCACTGATTCCACATACATTTAATAACGCCCTTTTGCTGTTGATAGGGTGCATTTTTAAACCAGCTCTGTCTTACATAATTAAATAGTAAACATAGGTTAGAAGCATTGCCAAGTAACTGGCATTTCCAACCCTTCTAGTCTTACACAGCTAGGTGCTCTCAAACTCCACAGGAGGGTGAAACGGTCATGAGTTATCACCTTCACATCTTCCTTGCTTCCTCTTACACAAAAGCGGTCACTAAACTCGAGGAGTGGATGAGGAGATAAAGGACAACAGACAGGGGTCCAGAAAAGAGTGGGAGAGAAGTTCCAATCGCTCTCCTCTAGAGGACACACACCAGCACCGCTGGCTCCGGGAGTAATTGAAAAGAATACCTTTGATTTTTGTTTCTTCACCCGTTTCTTCCTCTTCTACTTCTTCAACGTCATCCAAATCTTGATCAAGTTCAGACTGTTCTTTGCTACAATGTCATAGCATCACACCATAGTTTAAATGTATGAATTACAAAACAAAATGATAGAGAAACTTGTATTGACTTTCTAATAATAAACAGGGTTCTTTCAAAGGACAGAGATTCACAAGTGATTATGATTTCTAACTCGGTAACATGGAGACAAGTACTAACTGAAGTCAGTACTTAAAACCATCTAGCCAAAAACAAGCTTCAGGCTGTACAAGTGCAGTTTGGTAGGTTTGTGACTGCAGGAAGCATGTTTTCAAACTTGTAGCCAATGACTGCATTCCTGTCTTTGTAATGAAACGTACTATCATTTTACACAGGGCAGCAAAATACCACGATGAAGTCTGTTTCCTAGCCGATTTCATAACTAAATAACTATGACCCGGTCTTGGTAATGACATTTATTTGCTATTGTTTTTGTACATTAGTTTCATGTAGCCTATGTTGGCATCTCACTTCCTATGTAGCTGAAGGCTTTGAACTTGATCCTCCTGCCTCCACCTTGCAGAGTGCTAAGTAGGATTACAGGCCTACACCACCATGCCCAATGTATGGCACTGAATTGGTAGTGGGTTTTTTGTTGTTTGGTTTTGGTTTTGGGACAGTTTCCCCGTGGAAGTCCTGGCAGTCCTGGAACCTGCTCTATAGACCAGGCTGGCCTCAAACTCAGAGGCTTGCCTCTACTTCTGCTGGGATTGAAGGTGTGCACCCTCACCACCTGGCTAGTTTCTGAGACGGGATGCCTGTCACCAGCAGCCCTGGCTGTCTGGCTGTGGCAGTGAGATCTTATACAACAGGACATATTTAAAACTTTAAGGACTCTTATAAAATGGTAGACAGCTAGGAAACCTTTCTGATCTGGATCCATCCTTCCTTTCTGGATGATGACAGATTCAGCAGTTACACTGGACCATGAGACATCCCAGAAAATACAGGTAACCACACGAAGGATGAAGATGTTAGTTGGAAAATAGAGGGATCCTGGCTCGGGGAGACAGATCTGAGTTTGATGCCAGCCTGCTCTAGAGTGAGTTCCAGGACAGCCAGTACTACACAGAGAAACCCTGTCTTGGAGGAAAAAAAGAAACAGGGATCCTGTATCTCTGGTTATGAACACTTTTTTACTTCATAGTAAAAATGGAGAAGAAATGCCAAGACCTTGCTTAAATTTTAGTCAGAACAGTTCCATTAGGAGAAAGACTTCAGCTTTCTTCATCATCTTGGAAGAATCAGCAAACCCCTACTTTGCGGACATGAGATTCCATCTAGCAACCAAGAGGGTGGGATTAAGGATAATTTTCCTTTATTTTTTGGTTTTGTTTTGACAAGGTTTTGCCATGTGTGACAAGGCAGCCCACAAACTCAACTATCTTCCAACCGCAATCTCTAGAGTCCTGGAACTATAGTATGATCCTATGAACCTCTACAGAGGAAAACTCAGGGCTGACTCCAGGATCTCTGACTCCTTACGATCTGTGCGTGAATTCAAAGCCAGAGGCTGCTGTTAGGTATCTCACAGCCACCGCACCTTTAGTATCGTCAAATATTTACTGGACCAATCTTTACGAGATCTCACAAACTGTATCATATGGCCAAATCTAGCCTACTTCTACCTATAAATACCACAATTTGTATTAAAACACAGATATGCCGGGCGGTGGTGGCGCACACCTTTAATCCCAGCACTCGGGAGGTAGAGGCAGGCGGATCTCTGTGAGTTCGAGGCCAGCCTGGTCTCCAAAGCGAGTTCCAGGAAAGGTGCAAAGCTACACAGAGAAACCCTGTCTCGAAAAAACCAAAAAAAAAAAAAGAAAAAAAAACAAACAAAAAAAACACCAAAAAAACCAGATACAGTAACAGAACAGCAAGGGCACTGCCAGCAGTTAAGGCTCAAAGTGACCACAGCACTCACTCATAGGCCTTTCTCAGCTGACTAGCTCTTACTTTGAGGGGTCCCGTCTCCCACCTTCCCAGGGCTAACAGCCAAATAGAATTAAATAGTAGAGTGAAGAAATCAAGCTGTAATAATCAACTTGCAATTTTTTAGATTTACAAAATGATCACTACTAAGCTAACATGGCAGACTAATGACATCTAATTTTAATTCTTCCAAAATCACCAGTTCAAAAACAAAAAAGATAGTATTGTTAAAAGAGTTAAGACTAAATGTCAAGAAAGAGAACAAAATTTTGAAGCTAGAAAACATAAATTAAATCCAAGTAGGCAATGTGAAGGATAAGCTTGGCAGTCTTCAAAAGAATAAAAGCTAACAGTATTGGGTGTCTAATGTAACTACTTATAAACTAGAATGCTAAAAAGCCTCTCCCTGGCTGCCTGGATTCCTCCAACAGTGGACTATCAAGAAAGGTCACTCTGAAGTTGGGTGTTCTCATACCCACCGGTGACCCAACCGCAGAGTCCCACGTTAACAGGACCCTCTACCAAGCCTTCACGATTTTAATCAACTACTGTTAATCTTTCAACGCACTCACCCCGGATCCCAACATCAATTTTAACAAGCAGATGATAAGCACTACCCCATTAGGAAAGCCGATTACAAATAAGTCTAAAGTGAAAGGGGAAGAGTAAGTAAGACTAACCAGGAAAGGGACGTCCAGACAGTACAGTCAAGTGAGAAGGGGAACCAAGGTCAAGAGGGACGGAAAGCAACAGAGTTCAGAACACAAACGGAAAAATAATGATTCTACGTCTGTCCAGGAAGAAGAGCAAAGAGACAAGATGAAAAACTACAAGCTACGAACTAGAAGACCACTACAAGATAGGACATCTAACAAGAATTACACAAAGAAGAGACGAGCCAATGAGCAGTCAAAACAAGCATGCCCTAGAACTGAAAGCCACTGAATGTGGCGGACTGGAAGGGTCCACTACTGACTGGCTGTATCAAGTGTTAAAAATTAGACATTTTCAAAGATAAAGCCAAGTGAAGGAAACCCATCAAAAGAAATACAATGCGTGTGACCAGAGCTGTGGCTCTGAATTTAACCTCACACCGGAGGCGGTGACAGCAGAGCCGCACCTTCAGACTTCTGAATAAAGATGTTCGTTTCCAGTGCTACAGCCTAACTGTCACTAAAGGAGACTACATGTCAGAGGGATCTACTTCCTGTCCTCTTCTAAAGAGCAAACATGCATAAAAACAGGCGAAACTGTCACACATAGTTGTATCTGTTGACATTATGGCAAAGTTCCTGTCCCTCCCCCAGCCCCATGCCCTGGATATCTAAAGATACTGGCAATCTTAATTAATTAATCACAGTGTTATATTGTAACTACTGTGAGCTGGGAAGGCTGTACTGTCAAATTAAACAAGACCTATCCCATCCTCCCTGACCATATTCTATGAGCCATCCTCCCACACTAGACACGTCCCACAGGAAAACGTGCTTACCCCTGCAGGTGAAGCTGTCAGAACCCCGGTAGGGCCTCAAGAAAGGTTAAGCCACTAAGAGCAACACTGCTTTCAAGTTAAGTCAGTACTTCCTCTTCTGGTCTTAAAAACTCACCAGTCAGCTGAGGAGACAGCTCAGGGCAGAGCATGGACCTAGCTTCATGTGTGAAACCCTAAATTCAATTCCTACTACAGTCCCACCCACCTCCCCAAAACAGCATTAACATTCTAAAGAACACAAAGAAATGAATTAAGCCAGGCGTTGGTGGCGCACGCCTTTAATCCCAGCACTCGGGAGGCAGAGGCAGGCGGATCTCTGTGAGTTCAAGGCCAGCCTGGGCTACCA